CGCTGAATTCGCCGACAAGCTTTTTTAAAAACGAAGTAAATTAGTACTAAATGGTTCCATTTGAAAAGACAATCTTAACTAATAGAAAAATATAAATTTAGTTTAGTAAGTAGAGGGAAGTTCTAAATAAAGTCCGCCCGATTCCAATTTTTCTTCAGGTACCGATACCGATGCCGATTCCATAAAAAATTACAAATAAATGTATTAATGCATAAAATCAGTTTATTTAACGGAATTAAAATAGCAAAAGAAAAAAAATAATTGAATTAATTGGCTTGTTATGCAACTTTACATACACATGTATGTACAAACATACATACGTATTTTTTTCAGAGGAGGAAGCATCGAAAGCCTTAACCCCAAACCAGTCAGTGTGAGACTTTAACCCACTAAACATCCTACCGTCTACGTACCGATCCCCCCGGTACCACCGTCAAGTATTTCGTCGGGAGGCGGTTTGAGGCGGTTTACATATGTATGTATGTGTAAAGATATATGTACATATATCACATTTATGTTATGTTATACAATTTTATTTCGTTTTGTACTAAAATACTATCTTTTGCACACAATGCAGTAGAACTTATATGCTAGGTATGTATGTATGTACATACATATTTTGGCCGGATTTGGCATTTGGCATTTGTCTTCTTAATTTAATGTTTATTATTTTTTATATAAAGTCTAGCTGGTATACAACAAACACCGATGCCGAGGCCGATTAATCGATCGGACTCTAGTTATATATATGGAAACGGCACGTTTTACTTGAAGAAATTTTAATACACGTTTACAATTAATTGTAAACAATGAATGATTAAGAAACCTATGACCGCACATGATTATATATCGAGCCCTAACCGACAAAATAACGTTAGCGAAGTTTTTGTTTCAAAATTTTATTTTTGATGCAGAAATATTCCTATAGCATCTAGATGCATTTCTGCATCACGTATTAAGAAGTAATGGAAAAAAAGCAGAGTAGCTTTTTTCGAAAAGCCCTGTCTATATGAATTTAGGTTTAGAATTTTTATAAGCTATAAAACTGTACTTTTAAAACCTTAAATTCAACCTTGTGTGAGACGCACCTTGATATGTTGATAAATTAAGAACATCATTTGAATTCTTGGAGCATTCAATTTTTTCCCCAAAAAAAGTTTACAAAGCTGTAAATTGATTGCAAAGTGTAAGTGAGAGCTGATATCCCCCAAACAAATAGGAAATGTGCTCACGCAGACGTAATGCGATAGAAAGCAACGAGTATGAAACCAAAAACTACAACAAAGTAAAAGTAGCTAAGATAAAGCAAATGTAATAGAAACATCTAAAAATATGCTGTATAGAGAGTAAGCAGACAACCACCACAAATCTTGGCTAACCAAACACCGTCCGGAGTTTACTTTTTATCTGAATAAATATATGTATGTTTAAGGACACATTTGAAATTACTTCCTCGATTCAACAAATTTTAGTAATGTTTTGACTAAGACAAACTTGAAAACAAACAGTAAAGCTGTGGTGAGTTCATAAATATTGAAGCTTGGCAAAATCAAAAGAGAAGAGCTCGGATTCATCAACACATAAAAAATTAGATTACGGCTATTGTGTGGCACATAGAGACCACGCTGAGTTTAACAAAAATCATAATCAAATACATTCGAGTTTTTAAGTGCTGATTTACAAAACTCATAAAGTAACCCCAAACAATTTTCACCGAAACACATAGAGTACCTGCACCTTTATTACGGGTCGAATCCTCTCTCACGGGCGCATTGAAACCGACCATGGAAATTGATGTTAATCTGCGGAAAGCAAGTGCCATCGAACTGATGACCATTTCAGCAGGCTCCTATAGTATCAACAACAAACTTAACAACAACAACAGCACATCATCATTTGCCGTGCGTCCGGTAGTTTGTGGCTCCCCTCCCTCTCGTCGGATTGGTTGCTGTGGTATTCTCGGCCGGCTGATCTTCGCTGGTGGCGCCAGCACAGCTAAAACGGGCAGTGCTGACTATCATAATTTCAATAGCCTTCCCATCGTCGGAAATCAACAAACTTTACACGCGACTGCTCCGGCCCCACTTTGCGACGCGACTGTTGTTTCGTCGGTATGCAAGGCAGGTAACACGTGCCGTCCGCAGTCACGTCGTACGCCCCAGGAAGTCTATTTCGAGAGTCGGGGAAAGTCCTGCAAGAAACTTCTCAAATTCAATGGCTACTCAAATAAGGTGAGTCTTGTAGAGAATTATGCATTTTTATTTTTAAAATACAAATACATACATAAAAGTAATACCGGCCGACCTTTACAGTGGTACAGGGCCCAGGCGGCTGTTCGGATGACCATAATGATCTTTTGAATACGACTCTGAGGTGCATTTCACATTTAGGATCCGGCGTTCACAAAATATCTACAGAGATGATAAGAAAATGAGTCAAACCCTAATATATTTTGTCGAAAGTTACCCGGATAAAACAAACCCCTAAGCCTCTTATTTTATACTGTTTCCATCTCATAATTATTGCAAATTTACTACAAGGTTAAACTTTTAGATACCCTTAAATTTTCCTCATTGGGAGCGATTAAAAAGCAATTGTTTAGCAATTAGTCAGCAACAAGAAAATTTAAACACTTCTATAAATTTAAATTTTACAGAAAGACCATGCAAAAATATTTCAATTCGTATTTCGCCAGGTAATAAATGTATGAACTTATTTATATTTTCATAGTCAGCTGTCGAGGCGCGCCAACGCCAACGCCAACACCAACCCAACGCCAAAGTTGTAAAGGCCCGTCCACATACAACTTTGACGTTTGCGTCTCTTCGACAGCAGCGCGAGTAACGTCAGTGCTTGTTACAATGAACGCTTGGCATCGAATGATTTTTGCGTGTCAAATGAACTTTTATCTCAAAGTTTAAACTGCTGGCAAATGTAAATAGGGATTATAACTTAATAACTAACTAATACAACTAAAGTAAAATCTGTGGAAAATTAACAATAAAATACTTTTTTCGCAAAATCTATAAAGGGCCCTTTTATTTCTCAAAAAAAAACCAGGGTAACAGTTATTCGTCGCCACGCTGTAAATGTATTAATAAACTGAAACTCATTTCGCCAGTAGCGAAAATGGTCACCGGTGACATCGTCACTAATGAGGATTTGGTGACATCGTCACACTTGCTGTGAATCCTTAACGACATATAGCTGACAATGACACTGGTGACAATGTCATACAGGTGTACTCCTATCAAAGACTTATAACAGACAATGTCTTGCAGCGGTCACTTATGGAAAGCCTATTGCAGGACATTGTCGCTGGAATGTCATTAATGATCACTGCACGACAAAGTCATGCAGATGACCTCAACGACGAAATTAACATTTATATGAAAAAGTCATGAACGACTTCTATACAAACGGAGCCCAAAGTCATTTAAGACGTAACTTTTCCGTACAAGACTCTTAAGTGACTAATGCATGACATTCGCTACGGGGTCCCAATTAGCTTACTCGTATTCGTCTATGGCAGGGCTGTTTAAAATTTTTCTATTTCTACTATAAATCTACAAAATTTATGCGTACACTGACATTTTTTTTGTAATTTAAGTGAAGCTAACAAATAAGTTTTTTTTATACCCGAGCGCACTTGTGCACAAGGGTATATTAATTTTGTTTCTCAAAACGGTTGTTTGCAAAACGAATCGAGATAGATATAGACAAATGTATACATAAATGATCAGGATGAAAAAAGAAATCGATTAAGCCATGTCTGTCTGTCCGTCCGTCCGTGTACACGATAACTCGGGCAAAAAAAATTAGATATGAGGTATGTAAGTTTCCCTTAATCCAAGGTAGGTTGCTATTGAAAATGGGCGAAATCGGACAGTAACCACGCCCACTTCCCATATAACGCTAATTTCCAGAAATACGAAAACTGCGATATTTCAGTAACTACTGAAGATAATTCACTCCAAATTGATATTTACAATAATTTTTAGACGAAAAATAAGAATATATTTAAAGTGTTAATTTGTATATGTGCCTATACTTCAAGGCAAAACTAACCCAAATGTGCTACAAGTGCTTATGGAGTGATGCAGCTGTGGTCTATGGTATGGTCGGACGACTTTAAGGTGCAGAAAAATAAATAATTTAATTTTTTTTTGATCTTTGCATAACTTTTTGAAACACTATATTTAATGAAAAATTTGGAAACTGCCGGGAAAAAGGTGCGAAAACATTAGAAATAAAATCTAAAAAAAATGCGACTATAAATCGAGTATATTTTTGTTTATTTTTAAATTTTTTTGGTAAGTTTACACGATGAATATGTATTTTTCTCGTTTCCACATTTTCGTGTGTAAAAATCCTTTTTGTTAGTGACTTTACACAATTCTAAGGGTGAAATCAAACAGCAGATGTGTATTTTGTAGCTTGTACACACTTTCTTAGTAAATTTACGCACACCTTATAGCTGCTAAGAACTCTAAAAAGTCCGAAATTTAAACAAACTCTTCGTTGAATAATCGAGCATGTAATTTCGCGAATAATAAGGTAGGAAATCAGTAACCTACCTTTTAGGTAGAAATCTACAAAATTTTTTTTTAGAGTGTATATTACTATGTATCTAATACATATCGCGAATATTAACAAAACCAGTCTACAAATACGGGCTTTCGACCCCGACGCCACCTAATGGAAATATTTTTTGCGAAAATATTCCAGCATATGTAACAAATATACATGCAATAAAAAAAACAGATTCGACCATAACTACTTAACATAGATATATCACTTTTAATTTTTAACTATAAAGACCCCTCCCTGGAAATGCCCATATAAATATTATACTTATGGAATGACGCACATCCTATGAAAGCGTAATTATACTGCCTATTAGAAGAACATGACTCAAAAAAAAACTCTAAAGTCTAAATTGTGGGCGCTATGATTTTGCTTCCCCTAAATTGCGGAAATTATGCACCCCGACCAAAAAAACTGTAACCTTCAAAAATGAAGAGACTTCAAAAAATTAAGGCGTTTGGATTTTACTAAATATAGTATTTAACTAGAAGTAATTTTTACCCGACTTCATTTCGCGTATAGAATTTAGCAGAATCGATAAATTCTTCATGATGCAATGATCAGATCTAAACCAAATGGGACCACCCTTGAAGTGCCACCTTCCCAATCGAAGTATCGAAATCGGTTAACGTTGTCAACAGTTATGCAGTAACATACATAAAAAAGTATTCGGACGAATTAATAACCCCCTCTTTTTTCTTAAATTGCTTAAATTTTTTAAGAATTTGGTTCGAAGTCCCAAATTTAGTACCTCCTAAATTTGTTAAGATATGTTTAGTTCTTTAAACACCAGAGAGTGCTGGAATTTCTAGTTAATTTTTTTTTCTGCTTTTGGGAAAATATTCTTCCCACGTATGTACGTACTATGTAGTACAAAAGGAAAAAATCTAATCAGCTGATACACTGACGAAGACACATATATACATATGTAAATCTTTGGCTATAATGCACGGAGCTAATCGTAACAAATCGCGGCGAATTCGTCAGGATATATTGATTTTATACTCTTCCTTTTTATGGTACGTTTACGTGCCACGATTGAGAGAATACATCTATCATTCTTGTTTACGTGCAGTATAACGAATGCAGGTATAGGTTTTGGGGCAAAGCTACCCTTCAGCCAATGGCGACACGCGCGCCAATTGAGCGTTACCGGGAGAAAAGGAGGGAAGAGAAAGAAAAGAGAGGCAGAAAGGCGTGAGTGCGAGGAGCTTGAAATGCTGGCAGACAGGAGCGCGGCTCGAAAATTTGATCAGAAAATAAGGCAGCAATCAAATGGTTTTAAGACCGGGGCTAACTCCTGCAAAAATGAAGATGGAAACCTGGTAACAGATGTCCATAGTACACTTGAGATATGGAGGGAACACTTTTCATTGCTTTTAAATGGCCAAACAGATGGCGCGTTTGATGAAGGAGAACCCGAACCAATGTATAGGGACGAAGCTCACGTCTCTAAACTGAACCAAGACGAGGTGAGAACAGCAATAAAGCGGCTTAAGAATCCCAAAGCCCCCGGAGCCGACGGTATACCGGCAGAGCTGTTCAAAGCCGGTGGCGAAGAGTTGGTGGGGCGTATGTACCAGCTTTTAAGCAGAATTTGGCTGATGAATACATGCCCGAAGAATGGAATCTCAGTGTACTTTGCCCATTCACAAGAAGGGAGATCCCGCCGTTTGCGCCAATTATCGCCGAATAAGCCTTCTTAATATTTCATACAAGTTCCTGTCAACGATACTGTGTGCATGACTGAAGCCGTTCACGAACCAGCTGATTGGACCCTATCAGTGTGGCTTCACACCTGGTAAATCCACCATTGACCAGATTTTCACAGCACATCAAATCCTGGAGAAGACATTAGATAAGCAAATCGACACACACCATCTTTTTGTTGACTTTAAAGTTGCTTTTGATAGCAAGAAGAGGAGCTGCCTGTACGACGCTATGTCCAAATTTGGGATCCCCGCAAAACTAATACGGCTATGTAGAGTGACGTTGAGCACAACCTTCAGCTCCGTCTAAATTGGGAAGGACCTCTCCGCGCCGTTTGAGACCAAGCGAGGTTTTAGACAAGGCGATTTACTCTCGTGCGACTTTTTCAATCTGATGCTGGAAAGCGTAATAAGAGCTGCCAATCTGAATCGCAGCGGCACCATATATAGCAAAAGAACGATGCTGCTGGCGTATGCAGATGATATCGATATCGTAGGTCTGAAACAAAGGGACGTAACCGCAGCATTATCCAGTTTAGAAAAAGAAGCTAAAGAGGTTGGTCTAGCGGTGAACGAGGGAAAGACAAAGTACCTCCTGGCAACATATAAAGAGTCCACGTGCTACGGGATACACGTCACTATTGGCAGATATAACTTTGAAGTAGTGAAGGACTTTGTCTACCTAGGATCCAGCATAAACACCACCAACAACGTCAGCCTGGAGATCAAGCGAAGAATAACTCTTGCCAACAGGTGGTACTTTGGGCTCGGTAGGCAATTGAAAAGCAGAGCCCTCTCTCGACGAACGAAACTCACGCTCTACAAATCTCTCATCATGCCCGTCCTTTTATATGACGTAGAACCTTGGACGATGTCGAACAAAGATGAGAAGGCTTTGGAGGCTTTCGAGAGAACTTTTCTACGCAAAATCTACG